CAGCCCCCGGCCCACCAATTTCAAAACATGGTTCAAAAAAAAAACTTTCGGTCAAAACTTTCGGTCAAAACTTTCGGTCAAAACGTTTCGGTCAAAACTTTCGGTCAAAACGTTTCGGTCAAAACTTTGGCACCCAAACCCTTAACAATTTCTATAAACCCCCCCCCCTTCCGTTAGTTCCTTCCGTCCTTGGAGCGATCGCCCTCTTTCTCGCGGAAGCGGCCCACGGCCTCCTCCAGCTGGTAGCCCCAGGGATCCTCGGGAGACGATAAGGTGGGTTTAGGGTTTAGGGTTTAGGGTTCAGGGTTTAGGGTTTAGGGTTTAGGGTTCTATAAGGGGTAAGGGTTCTAAAAGGGTACTATAAACGTACTATAAGGGATACTACAAGGGTTCTATAAGGGAAACTATAAGGAATACTATAAGGGTTCTTTTACAATATAAGGTTCCTTTAAAGGGTCCAGGGTTGAGGGTTTTAGGATGCAGGGTTTAGGACTTTTAGGTTTTACGGGGGTTTGGGGAGTAGGGCTTTAGGATTTTAGGGCTTAGGACTCTTAGGTTTGAGGGTTTAGGGTTTAGGTTTTAGGGTTTAGGGTTTAGGGTTTAGGGTTTAGGGTTTAGGGTTTAGGGTTTAGGGTTTAGGGTTTTAGGTTTTAGGGTTTGGGCTTGGACTGGAGCTTCGGTGGCCTTAGAGGGGCTGAAAAAGCCTTCTAGGTTGAGACAAGGTCTAAGGATTTGGAGAGGTTTAAAGGATTTGTTCTAGGGACGCCTCATGACTTTTTCTTGTGAAGCCATTGGAGTTCAAGATGTAGGCTTTTGGACGGGGTGGGTTTAGGGTTGGGGTTTAGGGTTTAGGGCTTACTCACGGCGTCATCGAGGCGTCAGGCTTACTCTCTGCTGCCAGAGTTTCAGCCTTGGGCTAAAGTTGCTATAGCTCTACAGATTGCCTCTAGTACCTCGTCCAGTGTTAGCCTGATGGCATTTCTCCTAAGTGACGCTGGACGAGCAAGTCATGCTCAACCCCTAAACGGCCAGAAAACTAGCCTAAACTCAACAAGCCCACAAATTCTTCCAGACACCTTACCCTAAACCCTAGCCCTAAACCCTAAACCCTAAACCCTTACAAACCCAGAAACCCAGAAGCCCAGAACCCCTGCACCCCTAGCCCCTAGGTCCCCAAACCCTGGACGTTCA